TGTTCTCGTCTGTATGGAGTCACTGCAGCTGCTGCAGACTAACTCCACTTCCTCCAAGACAGCCCATAATTCTTCAATGTTGACTTCAGACACATACGCTCACCCACTCCCTCTCTCAGCCAGCCCAGACCACCGCTGGAGAAAGAGAGTGTGTTTGTGCACGTGTCACTGCTTTTCAAACGAATTGGCTGATTTGATACGTTGATGCCAGGCCGCAGGCGTTCACACACCTCCTCACCTACTGGCCAGATTGAGTCGCAGGGCGAGGGGGGCCGGGGGCTAGAAGTAATGGTGAAGGAAAGTTGACCACCGCCCTGGGAAATATGCCGCAAGTCTCTGAGTGAGCGAAAACAAGTCCTCAAGTTGGCGGACAGCTTTTTCATTTGGCACTCTCCAAGATGTGGAGGAGTGTGGGGCAGCGAGGGTGAGAGAGAAATTGGTGGAGGTGCTGGGGACACGGGGAGGGCTGGTGTTGGTGGTTTGTGCTTCTGTTATGAACAGAATGCTGTGAATCGGGAACAAACTCAATTTCAAGCCCAGTGTCCTCGAGGAGAAGCACATGGTCCCTCCACCTCCACCGCCAAATAAAGACCCTTAACCTCTTCACTGCTGCATGCTATTTTCGTTGAAGCCCTGTTGCCGCTCCCTGTCACTCCAGGGCCACGTGTTTTCAAGGAGTCGTGTAGGTCAGTAAGAACAGTGACAAACCAGGCCTTGTTGCACTCCATCTCTCTTGTGAGGTCATCTTGAGACACTTTTTTAGCCCACCGTCATGACGGAACCTGAAAATGAGGCTGGAGAGGTCAGCTACTAGAGTCCGTCCCATGACGGTGGGCAGAGAGAAGGAGAACTGCTCCTCTTTTTGTTTTCCTGCATGTAAGATGGGTGGTGGGTAAAGAGCTAATTACTCCCTGTCCTCTGTTTTATTCACAGGTCCTGTGACAATAAAGTAAAGCCCCAGGCATTCCACTAAACCCTATCACTTGTATACAAGTCATAATTTAGACAACTGGAGCAAATTACATAATTTCCACCACCTTCAAAGATGGGTTACTCATTTGAGTGGAGATTAAATTAATACCGGTGGGAATGGCTGTAGAATCATCACATGGTTTACTGTGACGAGAACACACCACCTCACATGTCTTCAGATTCGGGGAGGAGATATATTTGTCCTTTTTTTCCCATCCTTTAATAATAACAGGATAGCAGAGCAAAATTCCCTGGGTGTGTTGAAGAATTATTAAATCCACTTGCGCCAGTACACTGCTTTCATTATGTCACTTTGGTGGGCTGATGAAGAGCACTCAGAAGAGTGTAATTGGCGGCATCCATTTGTGACCTTGTCCACAGCGCGATGGGCCACTGCATCATCAATACGAGACGACGGGATGTCAGCGCCCTGAGGGAGGGAGAGGCAGAGAGAAGGCTGGGAGATAGGGGGAGGGATGAGAGGATGGTGGCACTGCCATCTGTCTGTGTGTTCTGACCCACTGGCCTCCTCAGCGGCCCAATGCCCAAATTAGGGGAAGTGACACACCGGCTAATTGCAACACGTGAGCGTTTGTGTTTGTGTGTGAAGCAACAGTCAAATTGCACAGAGAAGATCACAAGGCTCCACTTGGCAAGATTTGTGTGGAAAAAATACCCCTATCTTATTAGCCTAAATCATGAAGTGGAGCTGCAGCATTCAAGAGTACTCCATCCCCATTACAACGTTTTACTAGGGCTGCTCCCTGAAAGTCAAAGATTCAAATCATCAGTTGGGGCTCCTCAGTCGACTGAGATTCTTCAAGTTGAGCCTTTTTTTGTTTTTGTCATTTGACATTTCAGTCCCCAGAAGTAGCTGCAGAGGAAGTACTTCCACGCTGCTCTCTGGGGTAAAATCATTCCACTACGTTAAGTCGTCCTGTTTGGTGAAAATGTCTACGACAGGTACATGTAGCTGCAGACCTGGACCCAGGGTGAGTCAGAGGAGGTCCATTCAGACTGCAAAATACTATCTGCTTAGAAGGAGTGAATTTAGAGTTCACAGCAACTTAGTACATAATAAGCATAGTTAGCATGCAGTTGCTTGGAGGGATACCTTGGCTCGTTTGATATATTATGTGAACTTTCTTATACCTGCTGGACACCAATCAAATACCTAGAAGATCAATAAAGCATCGCTTGACAAATCTTTGGATATACATATTGAATGGTCGATGTGACTGACAACAGCCGTAAATTATACACACATCCTACAACGTATTTGCATCAGTGGGTTATTGCTGTTGATACTTCTTGAGCTACAGGAAAGTAACAAATTAACACCTAAGAGAAAAAGACAGAACAACCCAAAATAGCATCAACCAGCACAGTTTAGTGTTGAACTAACCCAGATTAATCTTAACTCTTCTGTGTGTTTCTGTATTTGTTGGTAAATACGAGCGTCCTGTGTGCAGGGTATGTCACGTTACAAGAGCTCTTGCAGTTGGAGTTCATTATTTTCAGAATGTCTGACATCTGCCACAGAAGAGATAAACTGTCTGGAATAGTTACAATGAGGTGATGATCAAAATGAGTGAGTCAGCCCACACCGGCATTTTTAATTACTGTGGCTAATTAGAGCTCTTTGCAGGAAGACGTTGGGCAGAGCTGAGCTTGTTAAAGTCACCAATGCAAGCAGTTAAATCTATATCAATTTGAAGCTATATATTTACATTGAATCAACATTGGATTATGTGTGCTGTGATTGGTTCAGAACTTGCAATAACTGGCTTGATATGGAATGACTCCCTAATTTGATTTTTATCAGGTTAAAATACAGTATGTAGTTGATGACCAAAACGAATGGCATCCCCACAAGGCCTAGGTGTCCTTTGTAGTTTGGGCTAATTAGCAATGCTATACTTATGTAATTAACATGGCATACATGAAGAATTAGCTTAGTTTGCAACCAGATAAGTAAGTGTTAAACAAAACTGAAAGAAATATGGTTATTACATGCAGCTCTAATTAGAGCATGACGTTGGCTTGCAACTGCTTGCTAATCCATGAGGCCAAACAATTTTCTATGCCAGTGATTTATAATAATAATGTATCAAGTGGTCTATAGTTTTTCTACTCCCTGGTTGCAAAGAAGTATTACTTGAGCATTAAAATAATAACAAAGTTGTTAATTGTGCTGCCCAAAAGGCACAATAAAAGTTAACTGAAAAGTCAGGCAGGAGTGAAAACACTTGTGTAAGAGTTATTTGGTTGTGTACAAACAGTTTTCATCTGCCAGATCCCAGAATTCACTTGTCAAACTGTGTGGGTGGTTCTTTTTTTTGGTTTGGTATTTGTTTTTAGTTTTTTTGAGCTAGAATAGTTATCAACTATTGACAAGAGGAAACCCTCATAATTTCCTTTATGCCATGGGACAAAGCAACATCTACCCAGCAGTTCAGAACAGCTAATGTCAACATTTCTTGAACTTTTAGTTTGCAATGTTGGCTAAGAGCGAGGCTTAAACGCGCCTGGGTGCTGATATGAAATCTCATCAGTATTTGTAAAACATATCTCAGCGTGAACGTGGCCAGCTGAGAGGAAGGAGGCCAGGCCGTGCAGTTCACTTCCTGCTTCAAGGCAAAAACTGTTGCTTCAACATGCACAAGAGACAGGGAGAGAGCAAGTGTCAGACAGAAAGATGAAGGTAAGGGGCTAAGAAGTGTGAAGTGTTTTGTTAAACTCATTCTAATGTGATGAACATCACTTGGCTGCCTGACAAGCAGCCCTGGGGCGGAGATCATATTAAGTGTTGAAGGGAAGAGACACATATTGTACATACACACACACACACACACATGCAAACACCTGTTTGAGTCGAGGATATGGCCACTGCCAGTAGGCAGAATTACTGTTTCTTTAAGTTCTTTCTCCGTCCTTTCTTGTTCTGTCCTGTCACTCATCCAAACAGGATGTGAACTAAATTCTAGATGCTCTCATAGTTAATGGAAGGATGCACGCTGGTGCATACAGAATGAAAAGAGCTCAAGGCGCTGTAGATACGTACTTCTGTGTCAATTAAAGTTGTTACAACCTAAGCTACAATGTGCTCCTATCACAGAGCATTACGGATCTAAATACACAGAGAAGTAAGGACACATGGGGATAGAGGGAAATAACAAAAAGTTTAAGCTAATTAGGTTTGTCTATATGTTGCTAGCTAACATCTTTGCTGTCCAGTGTCCATATTGGCTGTTTGGGTCAAATGATGAGAAGACTAATTTTAGTTTACATTCACACAAAGTCTATGTTTACCATAAAACATTCATTTCAATTAAATTAAGTCTAATAGCGCCGATTCAAAACAGACAAAAAATGTATAAAAATAAAATGTAGAAAAAGTTGGTATAAGGGAGAAGACAAATGACACATGAGAAGAAGGAAATCTTGAATGGTGGTTGATTGACACATGATGACTTCAATTTAAAGGCATTTGTGTCTTGACTCTGATCCGTCATATTCACATCAACAGTTAATAGGATGGTTCACAGTGACTTGCAGCTGAGATCATATTAACTACACGCATCGACCTGGTATTGCAGTACCTCTAGAAACAGTGCACACTCACAGTAGATGATGGTAATGCACCTTGACGTTGGTTGCCACCTGCCAACCGAACAAAGAAGAAGAAGAAGAATTTGACACTGCACATTTAACTGTAAACCTTTTGTTTCCTGTTCTATTCTGAGCCTGGACCACTGAGCTCTTAGGGTCATGGTGACATCACACACTGTGATGACACCTGGCTCAGCATTGCTGTGACGAAAGTCCCGCCTCATCAGTCACACCTATCAGACTGTTGTGTGTGTGTGTGTGTGTATGTGTGTGTGTGTGTGTGTGTGTGTGTGTGTGTGCGTGTGTGTGTGTGTGAATGCGCACACAGAGGATGGTGATGAGGGACGGGTCGGATGGGCGAGAATGGAAAAATAATCATCACTTACCCCTGTTGTTGTTTTGTTCTTTCTCTACAGTGAATCTACTGGACACCACGACCATCACAGGAGACTGGGGCTGGCTAACGTATCCCTCGCACGGGGTAAGGCTTTACAATCCGCAATGAACAAAATGTCCACTGAGGAATTTATCACTGATCCGAAGTTTCACAGAGTAATGCAGTAAATATTCATATATGTGCAGCTTCCAGAAATCTTCTGTCTGTGTAATGCAGAAACTGTTCATCTCATCAGCTTTACACTTGTATGTGAGTTGTGAATTTACCAAGAAATCACAGTGTAGAGTTTGGTGAGACACAAAATACTTTCTACATTAATACAAATGTAATAAACAGGTGACCAGTGCTGTGTAGCACTTGTGTAAAAAGTGTGTGTGTGTGTGTGTGTGTGTGTGTGCTGGCGCAGAGGGACTGACCCATGACAGGTGCTGATTTCTTTGACGGCAACAACTGATTCACTTCCTGTTTAGCAAGTTGTCTTTAAAGTAAAAGCACAATGTTTGTTTTGTTGCTGTAATGCTTTATATCGAGATGACTTACAGAGCTTTTATTTTGAAAAGTTGTGAACTCAGGTCTGAAGATTGAGTTGGTTGCTTAGCAGACCTCTGAAATAGCAGATGTATGAAAAAATAACAGAAGTTAAGTCTGTAATCAAGGTTAATATAAACTATACACGTGAAGAGTAATAAAGGACTTTCAGTTAAATTTTATAAAAAATATTACTGTACAATCTTCATTGATAAACCATGTTTCTAACACTCTTCACTACAGACTGTTTATAAAAAGCTCTGCAAATAAACAATAAAAATTGACCGTATATTGTGGAACTGTTTGAGGAGGACTCTCTAATCACAAGGAATCATTCTGAAGTAACTCTGAAGCTTTAACAAAGGACAAGAGAAAAGGCAATGTTGCACTAGTTGATCAAATTTAGATGTCAAATCACCACTGAATCAACATCTAGTCAGCATCAGAGTGTTCCTGTAATGTAATCCTCATTGTACCTCTGTGAAATCCCAACAGTGAGAATTTCCACCACAAAGCGAAACCTGCCGCAAAGCTTCTCCTATTTTTATCTCATCTGAAGGAATGTGAGGCAGTGATTTTCCAGTTGAGGGGGAGCCTGTGCTTATTAAACGAGCCCTGGCTCTTACACCGTCGACACAGGCTAATTACATGTTTGTCAGTTGCAGCCAAACAGCGACATGCAATGCTCGCCTAATTCCAACACGATCTCCGACCACCATATATTGGCAGCAAGGTGTGTATCACAGGAGGGGGGACTTCTAGCCCTCCCAGGGGGTGGGAGATGAGAGGGGGGAGGTGGACGGGAGGGGGAGAAAGATGAAAGCGGAAAACGAGGTGACGGCGGGGGCAAGGCGTCGCTACATTAGCATATTGTAATGCCACATGATGATGCCTCGGGTGATGAATTAGGACTCCAGCCGTGATCTTTATAGCAGCGAGATGCCACAGCCATCCCAGACTCCCCCAGCTGTCAGTGCAGTGGTAGAAACATTTAACTCACCTCCAGCCAACAGAAGGAGGCGTGATTGAACGGCGGCCAGGAGGAACAGATGGATTGTCTTTTAAGTCCCGAGAAAAGGGTGAAAGAATTGTATTTGAGTTTTGAGCGAAATGACTCCTTCTGGGTAAAATCTGCGTGAGAAGTGAATCTGCTTCATCCTGACAGTCCCGTGCTCTAACATCTAGATTACATACACTCAGCCCGCGGTGTTTCATTTAATTGGTTCAATATGCCAGAAATATTCACTCCTAATTTGACGAGAGATTGTTTTTTTTCTCTCTCGGAGCTCTAGCAGATGAAATGTTAGTTTGAATTCAGTGCAGGAGCTCAGCTTTGTGGCCCATGTGCATCTTTGGTCTACGAGGAAGAATTGTGAGCTACTTAGCTACTGAAGCTGTGCCTGAAATCACAGTTTTCATTGCCCCCACCTCCTCAGAACAGCCTGATTTTAGTTGTTTTAATTACCTCAGTGAACTTTTTCAGACTCTGTTGAGAACTGTGGTGCATCAGCATTTCTTTGAACTCCATTTAAAATGGCAAATCCCTCTATCGCCTACTGTGAAAGCTGCTACTGCTGTGTGCGAAAGGAAAACTCAAACCAGACAAGTCATTACATTACATTACATTTCATTTAGCTGATGCTTTTATCCAAAGCGACTTACAATAAGTGAGCTCGTTCCACCATTTAGGAGCCAGAACAACAAACAGTCGTGATTTTGTTGAGTGGGTAGTTTGCAGTGAGGCAGCAGCAAGCGCATTGGCAGATGCAGAGCGGGAGTGGAGGGGCTGGTGTGTAAGGTTTAACCATGTCCTGGATGTAGACTGGGCCCGATCTGTTTACTGCACGCTACACAAGTACCAGTGTTTTGAAAATGATACGGGCAGCCACTGGTAACCAGTGAAGGGAGCAGGAGTAGTGTGAGTGAACTAAGGTAGGTTAAAGTCGAGCCGCTGCATTCTGGATGAGCTGCAGCGATCGGATAGCACCAGCAGGTAAACTAGCCAGGAGGGCGTTGCAGTAGTTTTGGCGTGAGATGACTAGAGCCCGGACCAGAGCCTGGACCAGAACTTGTGCCGCCTTCTGAGTGAGAAGGGGGACGTATTCTCCTGATGTTGTGCAGCATGTATCTACACGAGCGGGTTGTTGCAGTAATGTTGGCAGTAAGGGAGAGTTGACTTTTGAGTGTCAGACTACAACAGTGTCATAGTACAATTACAAAAATGTGTGATATAATTATAATTGAATTGATATTTAGTGCCTTTTTGCAAATAGGGGGTTGGCTGTGGCTCACGAGTTACAGCGATCTCCGACTCTGACAGTCCGCCTGAACCCCAGAAACTGGTTGAGTTGGTGTCTGAATGTGTGCAGCACTCTTATCTAAATTCCTTTTAATTGTTAAGCACAATTTACTTAAGTAGTTTTATAATTAAAGTGTAATTACAACAATTCGCATAAGTTGAAAATTAATTAATTGTTTTATTAGATAAAAAGAAAGAAAGAATTCTTTGGGTTTCCCTTTAATATTATAATATCACTTAACCTATTGTAAGACTTAGCAAAATATCCAGGACATGTGAATGCTTTTTCCATAGCTTAATAGCACTGAATAAAGATTTGAAATGTATATTCCAACTTTCTGAGACAGGGGTTCTAAGAGTGGGAGGCGGCCTAACCAGGGGGCTCCAAACTGTGTCAGTGAATGGAAGTGGTAATATATTACATTAGTTTCAAAAGGAGATCATGTTGAAGGTCAGAAATGTGATGGTGCAGAGTTGAATTGCATGAGTGTCTATGGCATCAAACAACATAATAATATAGGCATCTAGAAATTGAACGAAACTAAGGAAGCAAACAAAATCAAGTTCACAGAGTTTATTTAAGTACATCAAATAAATTACATCTTAGTTTTCATGTTATGTAATCTGCAGGATACACTATAGTTTGTCCCACGCTGCCTCTTAAAGGGAATTAACTTGAGTAATAATTTATCAAAAAGGATTCAATGATAAACTTAGAAAGTGATGCAATATGTTTGAACATAAAGTTTTGATGTTGTAACTGTAAAATATTCAGGGATGTTTAGGGGGACATGGTTTATTGAGATAAGAAGTTGAAAAGCACCAAACAGTTACATAAGGTTTTTGTACATTTGGGCTTGAAGGGAAAATGCTAAATACTGAAACCGTGTCAGTAAATTGCCTGAGATCAGCAGCCTCCTCTGTCACGTCGAGATCAAAAACTCAGTGTATATTCTACTTCTGTACGGCTCACTCAGCAGTGCAGTACTGCTCGCACACAGAATTAGGATTTCTTGCATTGTGGCCACTGACAGTCACAGAGTGTGTTTTGACATTCATCTGTGTGTGGTTGTGTATATTGTGTTTGACAGAGAGAGCTTGGCTCACTTGGTGTGAGTAAGTCACAACACTGCTCTCCTCCAAGGTTTGATTTACTCAGAGAACTAAGTGTCGCAGGAGACTGGAAATGTTCTGCTCTTGATAATGAGCCATTCAGAATTATTCTTCAGCAAAGCTATCAGAGCAGCTGCAGCAGTAGTTAATGCTACAGGTCTGCTGCTTCTGCTGCTGCCTTCAGTTTGTCTAAGCCACACTGACTAGAAACCAGAGAGGTACCTTAGTCCGAGGGTTTGAACACACTTGTTTTTGCACTGCTGCAGAACTGCTGAATTAAAAAGTGTCTGTAAAAAACCTGTGTATACGTGACATTTACAATAAATGATCATCAGGATGTTAAGGGGACATAAACCCAACTCAGCCAACCTAAAACAGGTTCAGTTGTCTTTTTAGTGCAGAGTCAATTTACAGGATTAAGTTTGAATTAGAGGCATTGCTACAATAGTAAATAATTGTAAACCATTATTTTACATCCCTACAGGCTTGTCCAGTGTGTTAAGCACGTGTTAAATTACATTCTATGTTGTATTAAAATGTGTTTAAATATAACTTGACGTGTGCAGAAACCACCAGTAAACCCACACACCACTGTCAGGATGAAGTTCTATTTAATTTGGCTGAATCAGACTTCATTCATTTTTGGCCACTGGGGAGGAGTGGAACAATGCATAAACACAACATTGACATTATCACTGTAAAACATTTATACAACAGTAGTTACTTTAGCTCAGTTTTTGTTTCCACCAACTCCAGAGGGAAATCTGGCTCTTAAGCTGCTAAATGCTCTACTACAGTCACTATCTGTGTCTCAATCCAGCAGCTGCATCCTTTGGAGGACCCGGTCTATGCATCCGCCAACAGCTGCGTAAACGGCTTCAGCCGAATCACAATTGAGACGGTCTGGTCTTCCTATTGCATCACAAGCTTGTCCCGCACTCATCTAGTAACATCTTCCAGTTGATTAAAAACGTTGAAAAGATGTTTTAAAAAAAAACATGTGTACCGTTAGCTGCTTGGTTGATTCTTAAAAATAAATTGGTGTTGGGCTTGGGAAGGATCCACCCAGTGGTCACATTTGTTGGCCACATTTGGAGGAGCCTCCCAGTCTAGTAACACTGATGTGATAATTGGTCTACAAATG